GGAGTGTCTACCCCGAGTTCCACCTCGGGGCTTTGCAGGTACATCCGAAGTGAAGATGCGGACTGAAGAAGGACTTCCGGTTTGGTGCAATTACAGTAATATTACTCTTTTGCCAATCAAAAGGAAAAAACAAAAAACACATAGAAGTATGAAATTTTTGTCATGGAATTTGATATAAACTTGATATTTCTGGTCTCAGTTGCAAGGGAAATTCAGTTTATTGTGACTATTGTGGGATTATTATGCCTTTAAAATTAAGTGACCAGTGCTTGAAAACAAAAAAAAAAAGGGAAAAAGAAAAACTAAACAAAAAAAAAGGGGAAAAAGAAAAACTAAACAAAAAAAAAAAAGAAAAGAAAAAAAAAACCAAATGAAAAAGAAAAAGGGGAGTGTGGTATTCAATTCATTTTGAAGTAAAGGCACAGTTAACCTCACATTGTAAATAACTATCAAAGTGTCCTTAACTCATAAATTTCACGTCTCTATTCATCATGTCTTTGTTCACCATGCTGTTCTATAGGAACATCAGTATGAGATAGTATTTGGTTTTTTATGCGAAGGATTTGGAAACATCCCTAGCGCTGGTGAGAGCATCAAAGTTGTCCTCAAAAGGGATAATCCAGACGATGATGAGGATAGGCATGATGAAGATGGATCCAATCATCAAGATGTGAAGGCATCAAATATATAGACTTGAGGTAGGGTAAAAGCACCGAATGGATTTCAGTGGAAAAAAACTAGGAAAGAAAAAGCATGTAGCTAGCAATTCAACACCTTTAGTAATGGTTCCTATGAAAGAAACTTTGGATTGTGTGGATTTCCACTGTCGAAATCTTGTGAAGGAAATGGGACAAAGGAACCACCGCCAGGCTCCTTCCACAAAAATGATGAGTTGTGAGGATTTGGCTGGAGGGTTGTCTTCTTAGGCCATGGTTGTGGATTGGTATTTGGATTATTGATGGGTTATCTTGCCTTTCGAACTGGAAAACCAAAATGGTTTGTGACTTTGTTTGATGGACAACCAAATCAAAATGGAAGGAAGATGAAGAAAGCCAGAAGACATGTTCAAAGAAGAAACCAGTTGCAGAGTTGATGTTTTAGACCTTCTAAATTAGTATTTCCTAAAAAAATATTACTCTTTTGATTCAATGTTTTGGTTTTGGATGCCTTTTATCTCTTGTTGTAGTATCTCTGATTTCTCATAAAATCAACGAGTTCTCTCTTTGTGCTTTTGTAATTCTGTCTCAATTCTTAAGCTATATGGTAGAAGATGAGAGTACATTTTGTTGTCTTTTTGGCAGTAAAAAGAATTTGCTGTGTCATTATGCAAGTGTGAACATCTGGAAAATGCAATTTTGCCATTTCTAATCCCATGACCTTTCATGAATTTCTCATTCCCTTCTTTTTATTTTTGTGGCAGTTTTGTAACCATGAACACCTTGAATTTTTAACAAGAGAATATTGAAATGTAGCCTATGGTATATGAATTATATTATTTTTAATTATTGATAAAAATAAAATATATCAATAATGTCAAAAAACTCACTTATCTATTAATACTTATAAAAAGTGATTTTAGTTTTTTATTTTAACAAGGGATTTCATCTCACTACGAAGATATTGATAACTCAATTGAACAATTTATTTTAAGTATAAATAAGACACTTATTTAAATTTTTTTTAAAAATTATTTCATAGAGTTATTGTTTAATGAGTTATAATTAAGAATGAAGCATTTTCTTTCTTTTGTACTTGCCTGTTGCCCCCTACTCATGTCGACAAACCAACCTTTTGAAAAATGGAAACTTACGGCCAATCAAGAAAACAAAAAGACTAACAAATAATAATAATAATAATAATAAAAAGAAAGAAAGAAACTTACCTAGACCATCGTAAATGGAAAGACAGGTAAAGCATCGTCGTTGCATCTTAGAAAGATTTACTTCAGTTCATACATTCTGGAATGTTTTCTACAGTAGGCATTTTTGCCTCATTTTCTTGACCACTACTGCTGCTACATTAGCCATGCTGTGGCGATACAAAGATCCTAACCCTACATTTCCTACTGCCTCCATCAAATCCAAC